TGGCAGCTATAAACTGCTGCCATCTGGTCTAGCTTCACTGAACACAGAATGTAGAGAAATGGCTAGGCAAGTGAGTGAAATAAATAATATATACACACTTCTAGCCTAGGAAGGTAATTCAGCACCTCCAATGGATAAAACAAAGAGGGCTGTGAAATCAGTTTCTAGAGATGCTTTGCTTCCCTAGACAGAAACTTCCAAATTGGGCGTGTTCCACCCAAAAGCCAAGAATTTGTTTTGTTTTGTTTTAAACTACCAAGGTGTTAACCACTGAAGGTTTTTGAGGAAGGTTTATACCTATTAATTAAAAGATCTCAACATTTAACCACAAGACATTGCCATTAATATCAGAGCATTACCTTAAAAACCTTTATCTAAGGCTTTTAAAGTAATCTAAGATTTATTTATCCAGTAGAGCTCAATCCAATTTCAAAGATAACAAATAGAGATTTGATCAAGTTTGTAGAAATTAAAAAAAAGCCATGTTTTCTCTAAAGGAAGTGCTTATGCAAAATTACTTCTATCTCTGCTAATCTTTGTCCATTGTAACTTATAATAGAACTGGAACTGAGAGTTCTCAAATATGAAGTGTCTTTTCTCCCCAAGTGCCTCCCCATGCCAAAAGTTGCCTTCCCAAACACTAAAGCCATGACTTTTTCAGACTTCATATAGATCAAAGCACTTTCTTGAGAAAAACTTAACATAGACTGGAAGCCCCAAGGCTGTATTTGCATAAGGATGTGACACATACTATCTGTAGAAAGTACAAAAGTTTTTAACCAAAAGTTTTTTCTTTAAAGCCTCTATTCCCGGCTTGTGAATTGGATTGTTTATCCAAGTTAAGAAACAAGAGTTTTGGACCACTAGATTGTCTTATCAACACACCTAGGAGAGCCTACATTCACAGATCCCAAGAATAAAAGCAAACAGCTCTCTCCCTGCCCTTCCCCCATTACATCTGGCTTCAGTCTTTCTCCAAGGCCAACCAAGAAGCTGGTCAAGGCTAGATAGGAAAGGTCGCTCATTAGCACAGAAGCAAAACCCACAAAAATCTACACCTGGGTTGGTGGGCGTGGTTGTGGCTTTTTAGCTTTATGTATGCTCCTTTTTAATTTAATTGTTCTACAAGAGTAATTCAAGGCGAAAGATGGTTTGGCTGGGTCATACAAGAATCCCTTTGGGGTAGGGAAGCTACTTCCTCGGTGTCCTCAAACACAAGATGGTCTGGAGCTAGTCCAGTTAAAACTGTTTGTGATCAACTCAGTTAATAAGTAGATTTTCTAAAAATAGTATTGGGAAACACTAGTAAAGCTCTTACCTTTGAGTTTTCCAAGAACTTAGAATCAGCTTCTACAGTTGTTTAAGGGAAAGGTTTGGCAATCGGTGAAATGTGATTAGAATTGGGCCTACAGTTCAAAAATATATATTATATATAAATATGCACACATATACATATGAACATATATGTATACATCCATTCTTGTGAGTTAGTGACATTTTTACCTGGTGAGGTATTGTGAGAAATCTAACTAGCTCTTGACTGTTGGGGAACAAGAGAACTCCTGGTTCTATAAATTACAATCCCGGTGGAAAATAAATCCTTGTTCCCTGAGATTTATGCAGTAAAGTAAAAGGAGAAAGTGGTGACCAATATTTGTCTTGGAGATTTCCTACATTCCTGAAAAAGGAGGGAGCAGTGGTGTAAATGAATACAGGGAGGGTCTCTTCAGCAGGGACCACACTCGAAGTTAGGGGGCGCCATGCTGCTGCACATTGCAAAGAAAATGCAAAGAGGTTTCCCCAAAGATTTCTTAATTAAGACCCTAAAGATACATTTCTAACAAGTTCAACTGCCAAGGTCAATTCTGCCCAAGTAACTTAACGAAGGGTTTAAAATCTCAACGGCCCCTTATTTCTTCAGCAACTTAAGTCTGACCGATATTTCTGCTTTGCAGCCTGGTGACTTACTTGTTTTCTGAGACAAACTTACAATCTGACGGCTTTTGCTCCTTCACAAGACACATGCCTAGGGTAGAGTACTCTCTATACTGGAGACTGAGGGAAATAAGTAAAGGACAGGAAAGGAAGACAAATAGGCAAAGTTAAGAAAATTCTTAGAAATAAAATGGATTTCTTTCTACCAAAATTTACTAAATAAGGAGCTGGACAGCCACCTCCACTCTTCTACCCCCAAAAAACTAAAGAGGCTTCTTTTTACGACCCTCTGTCAGACTTCCTCTTCTTCTGATATAGCTTTTCATTGGAAGCGTGAATATACATATATACACATTTTAATTGGTCTGGGAATATTTTGCCTTACTTTTTTCTATTAATTGTACATTTAGAGAATGAAGAACTATATATGAGGTTAGCAGATGAGAATCTAGATTCTAGATAAATGTAGGCTTCCTTGTGAGAGACCTGCTAAATCCCACTTCTTAGAATGGACACCAGTACCAAATTTCCTTACTTCAGTTTCAAAAAGCATTCATTCAAGGAACACCTACTTTTACTAGTAGTGAAGCACTTGGTGGGGGTAGGGTGGGTGAGTACGAAAGCATGGGGCGGGGGCTATCCTCTGGCCTCTCCCACCCCCCACCCCCACCTAGGGGAGAGTGAAAAGTCAGATAAGACAAGTATTTGAGCCACCTGGTAAAGACTTTACAATACACTTATATTTTGGATGAGTTACACTTAATAAAGTTATTCTAATCGTGGGAGGATATCACACCAATATAGGATAAAAACCATCAAATCCAATTTCTAATACAATCTTACCCTTAAACTTTTAGGGTTGAAAGACAGGCCTTGCAAAACTGAGTGGTCCACTGGAAAGGGCACTTGATTTTAATCAGGACCTGGGTTTTGCTACTTTTTTTGGGGGCTGGGGGTGTGGGTTGGTTTTGGTATACCCCCAGTGCTTAGCATAGTGCTTGGTACATAGCACACACTTAATAATTGCTTCTTGACTTAAGTAGCAACTATGAGAACTCAGGCAAGTCACTTCAGCTTCTCTGTAAAAGCAAGGGCTGGTCAGGGATGATCTACAATCCTTTCTAGCTCTAAGTTTATTGGTGGGCCAGGCTGCTACTCGTAAGAAGCTAGAACCTGGAGAGGTTTATATGTGATGATGGGTCTCCTTAGTGGTTACTTACTCTTCACCACCTCAAGGGAAAGGGGCAAGGGCAACAAGGTATTTCAAACTTTGTACAACCTTGGTTTGAAAGAACTTTAGCATCTTTAGTATCCTTCAAAATAGCACCAGAAAGTCTAGTATCTTAATTAACTAAAATGACTCACCAAGTGCTTAATAAATAAATGCCTGCTGACAGACTTCAAAAATTCTGTGAAGAATTCTACATTAAAAGCAGATGTTTAGGGGTTGTTTTTACCTTTAAACAATTTGAACTCCTCCTGTAAGTATATACTCGGGGCCATTGGGTGGTGCAGTGGATAGAGCTCTGGCCTTGGATTCAGTAGACTCTGAATTCAAATCTAGCCTCAGATCAACACTTGCTTGCTGTGTGACCCTGGGCAAGTCACTTAACCCGATTGCCTCACCAAAAAGAAGGGTAGGCATTTAATTAATTAATACTTGTCCCTTTCTTCCTCCGTCCTTCACTTCTCCAAGGACTCAATTCCACATCTAAGCCACTTGTCCTTTTATTTTTTGTCTTAACAGCACTTATCTCGGTTCATGGGCCAAATGGGACGGCGGTGGCTTGTTTTTTATCACAGAACCAATCTTGAATTGTGAAATACTCTATTTTTCCCCCTAAATGAAACATAGATGACTGTTCTTGTACCTGATGGCCAGTTTGCTTTCCTCTGTGCACCTCAAGCTTTTAAATGTTACTTAAGCTCATCTATCCCTCAGCCTCACTTACGACAAAAGAAAATAGAGTCGTTGGGAGCTGCTACCAGAAACAACATGGGCTGGACCAATAAACACCTGAAGACAGATTGCATGCAAGTCCCTCTGAATCTGTAAATGAATAGTGTAGGTACTAGAGTTAAGGTAACTTCCCACCTTTGCAGAGAGCCTGCCAATACACACTGAAATCATATCTAAGAAATTACCGTCAAGGGAGTCTCTTGAGGGATAAGTGAACCGAAACCTCTTTTCCTTCCAAAAGTCCTTGACTACTCTCTCATGAACAATTAATTAGTTGTTTGGGTGGATTTCACCATCTACTTACTGCTAGGGAAGAGCCCGGATGAAAATAGCAAGAAAGGATTTTGACAACCAACAAATTAGCTCAACTGGGTCTTGGGGTCAAAGGGCCAAAACGCACAGGCTGAAACAGAGGGAGAGAAAGAGCTTACACCTTGCATTAGAAATGAGTCCAAAACAAAGTCAGCAAAGTGCCATCTTAAAAAAAAAATCACAGTTGCGGGTCCTCAAGGACAGTATATTTGGAGGGACACCTGAGCAACAGGTATGGGGCTGTGGGATTACTAACCAACAACAACAGAAGTTACGCCTATTCCGAAATCATTAAAACGTCCCTAATGCTAACCTCTTCTCCTATCCAATCCACTGGTTCTCATTATCAAATTATCAACAAAATACACAGAAACAAAAGTTGTTTAGTCTTTTACCAGCAACCAAAGACGTTCATTTAAAGGCAGTGCTGCTGATCACAGGTTTACAACAGGAAGGGACCTCAGAGAATACCTAGAAATATGCCTTCATTTTATGTGTAAAGAAATTGAGGCTAGGAGGAAGGGAAATGACTCGCCCAAGATCACACAAGTGCTAAATCGCAGAAGCCAGGATTAGGTTCCCAAGCCCAGCGTTCATTTCACCGCACCGCACTATCCGTGGGCTTAATTCATTTAAAATAAAGTAGCCATGGTCCAAGGTTTTAACCCAAACCAGTATTTTTGTATTATTTTTTGTTTTAACCCAAACTAGTCTTCTTTGTATTATAATTTTGGGGGGAGGAAAGTTTCTTGCAAACAGTGAGTGGTGTGCTTAAAATTAACAGCGCCCTTACCTTGGACCTTTCTTTGACATAGTATTTGCCCAGGCGGCTTCCACAGTACAAAACCAGACGGTCGATCAGGGACAGGAGGAAGTTGATGGCTTCGCAGCCTTCTTCGTTGCCCCCGATCCAGGTTATCTGGTCTCCCCGCAAGTGCCTCTTGGAGATCCCGGAGCGGGGTCCAGCCAATTGCCCGTCCTGCAGGTCCCCGTTACAGTGCATTTGCTTTACGCGCTCCAGGACGCAGTCGCCTAGCACCTCGCCCAGGAAATTGTCCAGGTAGCAGAAGCCGATGTCATGCAGGCAGGGCACTATATACTCCACAGCGATCTTCTCCAGATCCAGGTGCATGATGTGTCCCAGGGGCATCGCGACTCCCGAGCAAAGAGGAGCCGCGGGGGCCCCAGCGTGCGTGACTGGAGGCGGCGTGTGAGCGACTTTTGCAGACAGACACCCTGCGTGAGGCCCCCGGGGTGCCAGGGTTCCAGCCCCTAGAGGTCGGGGGCTGGGGGGCGACGCCGCACCAGTAGCTGCGAGAGGGACCCAGGGTAAGCAGCTCACAACTCTTTGGGTGGAGTCCACTTAACTAAGCGCCGTCCGCGCTCCAGACGAGTTTGCGCAGGGATCATCGACCCAGCACTGGACGGGTGCAGCGTAGAGAGTAGAAGGGACCCACTTTTTGGAGCGCGAGCATAAGTGACTGTGGACGAGACTGGGACTCCGGGAAGGAGTATCCGCTCTCGCCCCGCCCCGCCTCTTACTGGGCCACCCAAACTCCGCCGGACGTCACCAGGTCCCGCCCCAAACTGGGCAACAGTCACTCCCCCGGACTCAGGAGACCCCGCCCCTGGCTGAAGAACGGCGAGAGGGCAGCGTGGTAGAGGACGCAGTCTCCCTGGCCCCTTCATAAAAGAGCGGGACGGATGCATTCTCTTAGGCAGAGCTCAAGTTTCTTCTTGGTGGTGTTTTCGTTTTTTCTTCTCTCTGTCTCTGTCTCTGTCTCTGTCTGTCTCTGTCTCTGTCTCTCTCTCTCTCTCTCTCTCTCTCTCTCTCTCTCTCTCTCTCTCTCTCTCTCTCTCTGTGTCTCTCTCTCTCTCTCTTTTAGGTTTAGGAGTAGGGCTTACCGATTGCATGTCTGTGCTATTTGGCAGGGGGAAGTCAAGTTTCAGGATGCTACTGATTCGGTTTTTTTGTTTGTTTTTCCATAAATTTTTCATAAGCTTCAACATTTTAATCCAAACTGTTCTTATGCCAAGTTCTGCAACTGTATTAAATCCCAGCGTAATACCTTCCGGGATTTTAAAAAACTAATCAAGTAGGTTCCCCAGTAGACTGAGGAGCTTAACCTGTTCTCAAAACAGCCTTAAACACTTAGTAGCCCTGGGCAAGTCACTTAAACTATCCTCAGTTTCCTTATCTGTACAGTTGGGGACAATAATAGCATCCACCTCCCAGGGCTGTTGTAAGGATCAAATGAGATAATATTTGCCAGGTGCTTTGCAAACCTTAAAGCACTGTATAAATGTGTGCTATTATTAAATCATATCTTCTATTAGAAAACATGGATTCATTGAACAACCAATATTCCCCAGCAAGTTACCTGGCTCCTGACAGAGGTGTTGTACTCAGGGTGCAGATTGAGACATATGTATTTTGGGGCATCCAGCTAGGGTTTCTGTTTTACTTGTTACTGGGATTTACTTTTTTTTTCTTTCATTGGTCGAGGGTGGTGGAAAGGAGACAAAATAAATGCTAGATAACTTAAAAAATAAAATTCTAAAAATAAAGCAAGAAAGGCAAAGGAGAGAAAGAAAAAAAGGGAAAGAAAACTCCTCAGTCTCTTCAATAATGAATTAATCAGCAAATATTTATTGATTGCCCATTATTTGAAGACGTGCTGTGAGGCAGGAGGGTTTGAGCTAGAAAAATGTTTGCCTTGGCATGATACGTGTCAGTGTAATTATGCCCCAACCCCTGCTTTGTTGTCATGATGGCTATATCTTAATAGCCAAGTGAACTATACCCTAGGGAAGGGCTTAACCAAACAAGTAAAGTTTCAGTTATCTACAGATTAAACAGTCCAGTTTAATGGATTATACATTCCCCTTCCTTCTCTATATAAGTGACTAGAATTGAAAGGGGGTGGGGGGAAGACATCGTGACTTGCATAATTATTTTTCCTGTATACCTGTAGGCATTGGTGTCATCTTATTTTCTTTTTGAATTTAACAAAAAAAAAATAGTATTGAAAGATACAGTTAGAAGATAGAGTGCTGGACATGGAGTCAGGAGGACCTGAGTTAAAATCCAGACTCTTACTAGCTGTATGATCCCAGGCAAGCCACTTAACCTCTGTCTCAGTTTCTTTATCTGTAAAGAGAGAATAATAATAATAGCACCTACCTCCCAGGTTTGTTGTAAGGATAAAAATGAGTTTATACTTGTAAAATGCTCAGCAAACCTTAAAGCATTACATAAATGCCAGCTATTAAGGATATTATGTAGTTAGGAAGACCCAAGACTTTGAGTTGATCCCAGAATATCTACTAGTTAGCTATATGGCCTTGGGCATATCACTCAGTTTCCTCATTTGTAACCTGGGACTGATAAAAGCTATATCACTTTTTTCACAGAGTTGTTGTAAGAATCAAAATTTATATACATATAGGGTGTATGTGTGTGTCTGTGTGTGTGTATACACACACATATGTACTCTATATGCCTAAATAATATATAGGATATGATACATAGTACAGTACTTTGTAAATTTTAAAGCATTCTATAAATGTCAGTTATGTATATATTTTAACATATGTGATTTTTTTTTATCATATTATTACTCGTTCCTTTAATCTCTTTTCACTTTTTGAAAGAAAGATGATAGCAGAAATGGAATGAGGTCAAACACCAGAACCTGAAAATCAACAGGAAAAACATTCCCTGTACCTGCTTTAAAGGGAACTGGGTGGGGGGAGGGGGAGTTTGGTAGAACTAAATGAAAACAAATACAACAGAAACCTGCAACTTGGGTGTGAGAGGGGATGATCGTTGATACAATCTTTATCATGGAGAGGAGGCAGCAGGGCCTAGAAGATAAAGAGCTAGGCCAGGAGCTAGGCAAGATGTGGGTGCAAGTCCTGTATCTGTCATATACCAGCTGTGTGACTGGGTGAGTTGCTGGAATCCTTAGTGGTCTAGGCCCTTGTATCAAACTCAAAACAAAAACAGGGCCACTAATCCCTAATAAGGATCTCTGCAAATTGCATATTGAGTTAGTTTTAAACTGTAACATTATCTATGTTTCAGTGCATTTTTATTTATTTTGCTAAATATTTCCCAATTACATTTTAATCTGTTTCTAGCCTACTTGGGAGTGTTACATGCTACCGATGAGTTCATTAAAACAGCTCACAATGGTCTCTCCGCAAGTCCTCAGCTCCAAACTTTAAACATGTTCCAGAGGGCCTCCGGACCATATTGCTCTAAGTAAAGAAAAAACCTCAAAAGCTCTAAAAGCTGAAACACAAGAGGAACTGACCTCAGAAGTTCTTCTTTCTCATCAGAAGCACAAGCCAGTCTTTCCAAACTGGGATTGAGCAACTTTAAAGTTATTATGCTTAGCTATTACTCTGCATGAGAGCTCTGGACTTGTTAACCAACAAGTTGTTTATAATCTCCCTAGCTTTTCCTGCCCAGCACTCATTTATGAGATTAGTTTAATAAATGATTAAAAAGCAAAATAAAATACACCCAAAATGTTGCATCTGAGAGGGAACAAAGAGAAGATGGGGTTACAAAGGTAGGGTATTAACACAAATCAGGCTTTTCCCTAATTCCTTTTAGGTTCAAGATCAATGCCCAAAGCATACTTCTTTCAAGACAGAGTGCTAGACTTGAGTAAAGAAGATCTGGGTCTGAATCCTGCCTCCAACATATGCTAACTATATGACCTTGGGAAAATTATTTAATTTTTCAATGCCCCAGTAATTCTCATCTATTAAATGAGATGATTGGACTTGATGACGCCCTTCCTGCTCTAACATCTAGGATATATGATCTTCTTCATTCCACTTCCCGAAAATAATAAATTTGGTAGATTACAAGGGATATCAATCAGTTTTAGAAGCTAGCCCTGATTGGCCAAGACCATTTCCAATAGAAGAAAGGCTCCCTCTCTTGGCTATTTTCCTTACTCAGCCACAAAAAGTTTACAGATTCTGTCCTGTTAGGGATACTACTCTCATAAATTCTAAGATACTCTGGGTCTGCACTCCTAAAACTGTAGCTCACTGGCTCCAACCAGTATGCTTACTTTAATAATTAATAAGTAGACACAATTAGCCCAAAGCAGAGGCGCTTACTAAAATGGCAATAGTAACAACAGCTATACTATATCCCCTTCACCATAAATCTGACGTTCATACTTCCCCACATTGTTGTTGTGTTTGTCCTTCGTTTTCCAAGAGGACCGTGACATCACGGAGTTGATGTCATGACCTGCAATTGACTTTGTTTTAAGTGAGGGAGGGCTGTGCAAGGTCACCAACCTCACTCTCCCCTCCAGAGCCATCTGGGTCCAGTGGTCAGATATTCATCAGGACAACTGGAGATGGCCCAGGATGCAGTGGGAGACCCTTTTAAGCTAAGGACTTTTCAGGTTCTCATTTTGAGTGAGGCAATGCCCATTCAGTGAATAGTTCTCTTTAAGAAGTGAGTCAAGGGATGGTCCCTTTAACAAAAAAGAAAAAAAAATGAAACTGGGAAAGGAAGACCCTTAGGGTTGCTGGCCAAAAGAGAAACAGCTACTATTTACACTCACTCTGAGCCAGAAGGGACAAAAAAACCCATCCATTAAGTGATGCTTGGGCAGGGACCTATTGTTGTCCAGTCTATGAACTCCAAAGTGAATTGGGTTTAAGTCTTGGTCTTTCAGAAAGAAATCTAGCCAGTGAACCCCAAGTTAACTAGGCAGCTTTCAGCCATCAAAATTTACCTTCCTTTGGGCAGAACACCTTCAAGGGAGGGGAAAGGAGAGGAGCAGAGATACAGTAGGGAAAATGGGCATCAATTTAGAGTATACTAGTAGTGAGACATATACAAAGGGTACACATGTGGCCAAAGAAATTCATGCTTCCAGAATAACACCTCAAGTCCTTTCTCTTCTCTTGGTGTCCTCATTCTATTCTCCCTTAGGTGAAATGCCTCTATTGGGTGGACTACTTCCTAAATCTCAACTCTCAACTACCAGAGCTAGTTCTCTCTTAAATCCAGAGTTGACTCTCTGCTCTGCTGCCATAAGCCATACTCTATAAAGCTATTTCTGCCTTCTCTCTGTCTCTCTCTGTCTCTCTCTCTCTCTCTCCCCCTCTCTCCTCCTTCTGGGTAAATAGCTCTCCTGGATTATTAAGAGATAAAGTGCCCCCACCCAGGGCTGGCTGGTTTAGTTTTTCAAAGGTCACCAGGGGTGTAGCTAATCTTATGCTAGACAATATCTAAATCCATCAGGACAACTTCCTCATTTTATAAAGGGATAGAAGGCTATAGGCTCATCTCTGTTTCTTTTCCCCTTCTAAGATTTATAAGCTGGCCTGGGAGTGGGGAGTGGGAATCAATTTTCAAGGAACTCTTCACCTATCTTAGACCTCTACAATGGAAAGGGCACTGAATGGGAGTCAAGGGACCTAGGACTGCCTAATTAAGTGTGTGTGGGAGGGGGGAGGGTGGTGAGATAGTAT